AAAAAAAAAAAAAAGGTAATATTATTGAGATACTACCTGCCTCATACTCAATATACCTTACTGCATTCGTTTGTGTTCTGTCACTTATAACAGAATACCTGAAACTGGGTAATTTATTTTAAAAAATTATTTCTTACAGTTTTGGAGGCTGGAAGTCCAAGATTGAAGGGCACATCTGGTGCAGGCTTTCTTCTTGGTGGGGACTCTCTACAGAGGCCTGAGGCAGTGGAAGGTATTACATGGCAACAGGGCAAGAGCATGCTGATGTGCTTTCTTCCTCTCCTTATAAAGCCAATAGTCTTCTCCCATGATAACCCATTAACCCATTAACCCATTAATCCATGAATGCATTAATTCATTCAGAGGGCATAGCCTCTCATGGTCCAATCATCTCTTCAAGGTCCCACCTTTCAAATACCATGTTGGAGATTAAGCTTGAACATGAGCTTCGGAGGGGACAAACATTCAAATCATATCACTTACCTTATTTAATCTCTACTGCAATTCTCTAAGATAAGGATTATTACCCCCATAATACAGACAAAAAAAATGCTAGGTGTCAAGAGCAGCTGGTGAGAGGATAAATAAGTTCCAAACCCAGATAGGAGTAATATTGTCTCTCTCCGGTGCCTTCTTCCCAACATCACTTATACCAAGTGAAGATGTCTATACATTCAGAATGCTGTGGGAAGATTCTTGGGTGATGTCAGGAATTGAATTTTGATTATCTGTAAAACAATGATTTCCAAATCTATCATCAGTAACACATAGAGAGCTTTTTAAAAACATAGGTGCCTGCATCTGTACCTGGCATTTTTGATTCAGGAAGTTTAGGGAATTCTTGGAAATCTGTTATCTTAAGGGCTCTGATGCACAAACAAGTTTTGGAAATACTGTTCTTAGTAACATCCAATTCCAAGATGCATTGATTTTATAAGATTGGCCACCAATGTTATTTGGTAATTAATTAATAAGGTAATTAATCTGAACATAGGACAGCTCTCTTTGAACAGGAATGTTTGCAACTGTTTAAAGTAACTTGCTANTGTTATCTTAAGGGCTCTGATGCACAAACAAGTTTTGGAAATACTGTTCTTAGTAACATCCGATTCCAAGATGCATTGATTTTATAAGATTGGCCACCAATGTTATTTGGTAATTAATTAATAAGGTAATTAATCTGAACATAGGACAGCGCTCTTTGAACAGGAATGTTTGCAACTGTTTAAAGTAACTTGCTAGTGGGGCCGGCCCGGTGGCGCACTGCTACAGTGCACTGCTTGGGAAGCGCGGCGTCGCTCCCGCCAAGGGTTCGGATCCCACATACAGACCGGTTCCCGCTCACTGGCTGAGCGAGGTGCGGGTGCAACACCGAGGGTTGCGATCCCGTTGCTGGTCCCAGTCCGGTATGGGCGTGACATGGAGGGTTGCGATCCATTGCCGGACACGAAAAAAGACAAAAAAAAAAAAGAAAGTAACTTGCTAGTGAAACTATTCTGTATGATACTGTAATGGTGAATGCATGACATTGTGTTTAGCAAAACCCATAGGACTGTACAACACAAAGAAGAAACCCAAATGTAAATCGTAGTTAATAATAATGTATCAATATTGGTTTATAATTGTAACAAATATTCCACACCAATGTACAAATGTTAACAATAGGAGAATCTGTGGGAAGGAGAGGACGTGAACAGTCTGTACTTTCCACTCGATTTTTCTGTAAAACAACAATTACTATAAAAATAAAGTCTATAACTAACAATAATTTATTGGATGTTCTCAAATGGCTAGAAGAGAGGAGCTAAAATGCTCTCATCACAAAGAAAAGATAGATTTTTACAATGATGAATATGCTAATTACCCTGATTTGATCACCACAAATTGTACACATGTATTGAAATATAACTCTGTACCCCATAAATATGTACAATGAATACATGTAAATTAAAAAATAAATACATTTTTTTAAAAAATAAAATCTATTAATAAATAAAGTAACCTGCTAGAGGGACCAAAGTCATTAATTCTATCCAGATGTGTGTCATTTGCTCTGTTTTTCCAAAGGCTTGCAGTCCTAAATCTGGTCAGTCCTCTCATAAATACTTTGTCTGT